AGCAGTGGCAAGAAATCTCATATCTGTTCAAGGATGAAACATTTCTCCTAACCACGAGCGACCACGCCGGATGCTTCCACCAGGTTGTTGACAATTGGGAATTCTGAGTATGAAGACAGGAAGATGCCTTTGTAGATCTCCTTTTTTTCTTTTTCTTTTTCTTTTTTTCTCTCCTTTAATTTTGGCTGGCCAGTGGTCACCCTTAACCATTCTTAAATTAATTATTGCAAGAAATGATTGAGATAATACTAAATAACTGTTTTCACCTTCGAGTCTTCGAAACAAAATTAAATGTGATTTGGAAAATGACCTGAACTATGTATACATTATTATAACATACAACAAACCTGCATTTGCATTTGTTTTTTCTATTTTAGCAGAAATCTTTGAGTTTGACCCATGTTTGATTGAAGCCGAAATTAAATACAGTGTTCTCTATCTTTGAATTTTTTTTTCATTTTTTATGAGCAATGAGATAATATTATTTTTTTGGTACCTGCCCACTTTATATGCAATATGACTCAAAATTATGAGACCACACTCCTTATTATCACCACCGACTCACTTTTTGTTTTCTTTTTTTTGTTTAATGGATATAGTGTGCTTAGCTTATTCACAAGCATTTTAAAATTAATTATTTTTTAAAATAATTAAAGGTAAACTATTTATGCTTAAATTAAAAAAACTATAAAAAATTAATTTTTCATTTATTTTTTCATTGAATAATAAACAAATACTCTTGTTAATTAAGTCACTACTCAAATCTCAAAAATTAAATTTATTAGTAAATAAGTGCTATTTTATAAATTAGATTTAAAATTCAAATATTAGGTTAGTATTTTAAAAAATTAATTTTTTTAAATATATCATATTAATATAGAGATATGTCTATAAAAATATTAAATTTAAAATGTGTAAAAATTAATTCAAAAATATCCTTTCAAAAAATTAAAAAATGGGTTAATTTAATGATTGGTCTATTAACTATTTATTTAGTTTCATTTTAGTCTAGAAAGTTTGTTTTTTCTTTTTCTAAATATTCTATAAACTTTGTAAAATATTTCAAAATAATTTATTGAACAAAATTTCTATTAGTTTTAATAGAAAAATAACATAAAAGTTAAATTAAAATTAAAACAGAAAACAGAGTAATCCCAACCAACACAATAGTTTAAGACAAACTGTATAAATTATTAATATATGTTAATAATTATGGTCTCTATTACAAAAGAGAATTGTAAAAAAAAAATTGAAATAATATATGATAAATACTACAATTTTTTAGACAGTAAAAATAAACTTATTATTCTCACAAAATTAATTTTATTTTAAAATTAATTTCAAGTAATAAAAATTCACAAAAGAGATAATCAAAAGATTAATTTGATCAAATAAAGTAAAACTATTGTTGCAACGTTAACAGATTAGATTAAATTGAACTAAAAATAAAAGATAATAAATAAATTTAAAAACTTTTAAAGATAAATTAGATAATACATGAAATAGAAAAAATACAAAAATTATTAGACTATTTATTAAATTAAGTCATAAAAAATAAAATTAATGCCGCCACAACGGTCCTGATCACTTAAAGTTGGCTCTATATGGAGAGAACAAAATTTTTTGATCGGAAAACGAAAGATTTCTTTAAAAAGCGGATGGAACAAAGGAATACTCCTCAAAGTCGGCAAAAGCCTAATTTGAGCCCCTCATCTTATTAAATTTGAAAGTTTTAGTCTTTCATCTTATATTATAATACTTTTAACCTCTCACCTTACTAGATTTGTAAGTTTTAGCTTCTTATCTTATATTATAGCACTTTTAGTCCCTCACTTATTAAAATTGAAGAAAATAACCTCACTTTGTAATATTTTGTCAGTTCTGTTAACTGACTATTAACTCTATTATCTAACTGTTAGTTAACTATTAGTTGACAAAAACCTTTTTTCAACTAATAAAGTTAACAAAACTAACTTTATAATATTTTGTTAATTCTGTTAACTAACTATTAATTGACTGTTAGTTGACAAAAACCTATTTTTAGTTAACAAAGTTAACAATCAGTATAAAGTGAGGGTTATTTTCTTTAATTTTAATAGGTGAGGGGTTAAAATCTACCAATCTAATAATATAAAAAGTTAAAAATATTATAGTATAAGGTGAGGAGTTAAAACCTTCAAACTTGATAAGATAAAGGACTAAGACCAGGTTTTTGCCCCTCAAAGTCCAAGTTCAGCAGTACACCGTCCACGGGCCTTTCAGGAAAATTGAAATTAGAACATGTACATCCATCACAGATTTAGGAAGAACAAATACAAATAGCAGAAGAAACCCAAAAGAAATTGTTCAAATTTTCATGTGGGCTGTCCGTTGTTTGATTTTTGGTTTATAAAAATGGGTCAAACGAATAATTGATAGATTTTAATAAAGTTATGTGATTAAGATGGATTTAGATTTTATTTAAAATTTATATAATATAAGATGAATAAGTGTAACGTGTTTAAAATTAAAATTGAATTGTTTAAAAAGTGATATACTTTATTAATTGTTATTATAAAAAAATCAAATAATAAAAATTCTTAAATTTTAATACTAATTATATTTATTTTTGTAAATTTTATATAAAATTATGGCCTTCATAATCTTTCATGATACTTAATAACATTCTAATCTTGCTTGCATACTGATTAAGAAAATCCAAGTGTGCATTTAATGATTTCACATATTATATTTTATAATATGAATAATTTAATATTTTAAATTTTAATTTATGAGATTAATTATTTAAATAAATTA